TTGTTTACTCAACTTCATGTTTTATTGCATACATACCTTTTGTGTATCAATCGCATGTTTTTTTAAGGAAAGGTTTTAACCAATTTGTTTTGAACTTAAAAGAAGCGTAGTAGATTTAATTGATGTAGAGCTTTGTCAAAAAAGTAATGTAAGCAGGTTCTCGCACTTGAGAAACGGTAAAGGATGTGCAGAATAAGTAGAGACAAGTAAAGGTTGGTTACTAGTTGCATTTCTTGAGATTTGAAGGCAAAGAACTAAGGTAGCGAAGTAAATAGCAAAACAAAAAATAGATGAATCAGTGTCACCTCATCTAGAAGACTTGTTCCTTGAGAGCCGACTATTCCTGGGAAATTCTGACCACTTTCATCCCTCTTTATGGTCCCATAATTTCATTCATCGACATTCTACACCGAAGCTTAACATATCTCACCCGGTCGTCCTATAAAACACAAAATAAACTCCAAAAATACTTATCATTCAATATTCAGTCCTTTTTCTATATGCTTCCTCAAGTTTGTAGAACAGAGCACCTAGTCTGTATACTTTGTGCTTGGTCGTTCAAATTAATTCTTAACAGAAGTCAGTAATCAAGTGCAAATTCCTTTACTTAGTTTTAGGCCATATTTAGGGCGAAGGCTAATAACACTACCATCTAGTTATTTGAACTGAAGTATGTAAAGGGAGGTTGAACTGTTCAACCTGTTGGTCTAAAGTTAAGAAATTTAGTCAACTAAACACTTTTGTCTATTTATTATTATTATTATTTGAACACATAAATATTGGTACAGGGGGGCACCAAATATATATGCGCCACACAAAACAATGATAATTTGAAGAGGACAACTATCGACTCATTCCATGACGTTGGTACACACTATATATATATATATATATATATATATATATATATATATATATATATATATATATAAGTAATGAACGTGGGGAATTATAAAAAAAAGAGGGAGAGAACAATGATGGGGGAAAACGTTAAGGTACAATCAGAAGAAATCTTTCAGTTAAGGAAGATACAACCACTTTTTATGAAGAAAGTTACAGCAGGATCGCCATTGGCTTCTATTCTGAGCCATATCTGATAACGTCTCTAGCCACTGCGTTACACCGTCTCTCGGACCCCAACCAGGGAGTCGTGAAAGACCAACAGAAGCTAGCTTTTTGCAGCTTTCTTTCATACCACGACACCATGTCATATACTGACCACCTCTCCGCTTTTTCCAACCAGTCCCAGAGTCGGCAAATAATGCACGACGAGGAATTCTCTGGGACGACATTCGTAGAACATGTCCAAGCCACCGAAGTCGGTGTTTCAAGATGATGACACCAATTTCATTATCGTCTCTGTGTCCGAACACACGATGCCGGACCTCTGCATTACTGACATGGTGTTGTCACTGGATGCCAGCAATCCTTCGGAGACAACGATGATCGAACACAGAGAGTCGTCTAACATCCTCAGCTCGGAGAGGCCAGGTTTCACAAGCATAGAGCAAAACTGCTCTCACCAACGCTTTGTAGATTCGACATTTTACTGCCAGACTAACATCACGAAGGCGCCAAAGGCGGCCCAGATTGGCATAAGCCGCTCTGGCTTTCACTATACGTGCATTGATCTCATCACTCACGCCACCACCAGCACTTATGCAGCTACCTAGATAGACGAACTTCTCGACCACTTCTATCTGCTCACCATCCAGAGTGAGTACAGAATTAGAATCCTGCCAGTCTTGTAGAAGTACTTTGCACTTTGAAGGTGCAAAGCACATACCATACCTACGGACATTGATTGCCAACTGATTAAGTGCGGATTGCATAGCTTGGGTGTTCCCGCACAGTAAGACAATATCATCCGCATACTCAAGGTCGAGAAGTCTTTCTTCAAGCAACAGACCCACACCACCATTACTTACATCCATCAGAGCTGTTTCCAGAATGTCCAGAGAACAGTTCTGTCCAACGAATCGAAGGCAGCCCTGATGTCAAGAAACACTACGATTGTTGGTCTTTGATAAGTATGGCGGTGTTCTAACATTTGGCGGAGGGTGAAGATATGATCGATACATCCTCGACCGGAACGAAACCCAGCCTGCTCCTCGCGAGTCAATCCTTCTCGGGTTCTGAACAACCTACGAAGTATGACGGAAGCCAATAGCTTGGACGCAATCGTAAGTAGACTTATCCCCCGATAGTTGTTACAGGAACGACGTGAACCCTATTTAAAGATAGGGACAACTATCGACTCATTCCATGACGTTGGTACACACTCTAGTTCCCAAACCTTTGTAAACAACGTCGTCAGTCCCTTAGTCAGAAAGTCATCACCATCTTTAAAAAGAGCCGGAGGTAAGTCGTGTGGGCCCGGTGATTTGTAACGTTTCAAGAGTTGGAGTTCCTTGCGGACTTCCGCCTCATTTGGTGGATCAGTCGTCACCGGCCATGGAGGGCAGGACAGTCTGACCGATGTTGCCGGAGCAGCAGGCCAGTTGGACAGCCCTTCGAAAAATTCTGCCCATCGTCCAAGACGTCGATGGATGCTAGTGATTGGCATCCCGTCATCCTCGCAGATTGTTTCGCTCACACCAGACTTCTTGCTGCCAGTGGCTCGGATGAGTTGGAAGAGCTTCCGGTAGTTACCAGATGCAGCTGCTGCTTCCAGCTCATTGCACGCTCCGACCACCAGGCTTCTCGGTCCTTACGCAAGCTTTGCCCAATTTCATTACGTAACATCCTTCGTTTGTGGTCAAACTCACGGTCACTCGGAGTAGACCAACGGGCTTCAATGAGTTGTAAGGAACCACAAGAAACCCAGTGCTTGCAAGCGGGACGTTTCGCGAACCCACAACAGACTGTACCCGCCATTTTCATGGCGTCATGCAATTGCGACCAATGCTCATCTATACTTTTCGGTGGAATGCTAGCTAGCCTAGAAGCTAGCTCGGTTCGGTACTTACTGGCAACAGAAGTTGCAACCAGCTTGCTAATATCAATCGTTTGGTGGCGGTCACTTCGTTGTCCACTGAAAAGTAAGGTAAGATTGGCGCAGACCAGAGCATGATCAGATTCCAGATAGGTACTCCAAAAGGAGTGGTAGTCTTGTACACAACCACGCCAGAGGTAGCTGATCGCGATGTGATCAATATGAGTCCAGGCTTGAGATGCCGATTGGGGACGCCAGGTGGCACATCGGCGATGACTGTGCCGAAAGTTAGTGCTAGCCAGAAACAGGTTGTGGTCTATGCATAGTTGCAGTAGACGGTCCCCGTTATTTGTCCTGCGACCAACAAGTCCCCATCGGCCACCTAAACGACTCCATTCTGTGCCTAGACGCCCGACCTGAGCATTCAAGTCTCCGGCTAGTACTACAATATCTGTCGAACGCACTTTCTGGAGAAGAACAGTTAACTGGTGGTAGAACTCATCCTTGATTGCATCCGGGCTGCAATCTGTCGGGGCATAAGCGGAGATGACGAAAAGTCATCGTTTCTCACGCCTATTTCTTCTCACATTGATGGAACTTTCTAATCTAACAGCACATAACCGACTGTTAATGGGGATCCAGTCGACTAGTGCTGCCTCAGCTCTAGCGCTTAGTGCGACACCAACGCCAGCAAGACCAGACGAAAATGCCACAGGGTCCCCGGATAAACGCACATAAAACAAGCTTTTTGAAGCGACAGATGGAGAGCGAATTTGTAGTACTTCACCAGAGTTTTGAATACGGGTCTCGGATAGACAACACACATCAATATTAAGACTTTCCAAAGACATAGCCAGCCCTATCTGTTGTCCGACCTGTATAAGTGTGTGAACGTTGAAGGCAGCCAGTTTGAATGGTGCACGTGGTTTCAGAAAAACTGCTTCAGTATTCGTATTCGGTGGTAACATACAATTTTCAACCAGGCAGTGGCTCGAGAACGTTTAGATAGAGCCGAATTTTCACCATAGGCGAGCTGCTGTCTAGGTCGAAACGGATACATAAAGTAGGAAAAGAGAGGTTGAATAAGTGACGTGGTAAAATAATAATAATAATAATAGTACGAGTCATTTCAATGTTAATCAGAGAGAAGGGGATATTTTCCATAAGCAAATAGTTCATTATGATTTTAGTGCGTGGGCTGAGATGCTGCCCGGGTGCCCAAACCGAAGCAGGTGGTTTCCTCAGGGGGCCACACCCCAAGCCTTTGACCTGAACGTCTGATCCACAAGGCAGTGGAGCATCGTGAGGAGATGCAGTCCCATGGAAGCCGGTGACCAAAAGTTGGTTCATACGCCATTTGTTCCTTCAGGATACTGGAGCCCATGTGCACCATTGAATTGGGATCCGGTTATAGCACCGGACATTCGCTTTTCGTCCTCTCATTTTCGTAAGTAACACCCTCGCCACGAGAAGGCAGTGAGTAGGACTTCCCTGGCAGAGGCTGTATATGCGTGCCCATGTGAGAGTATTTCGAGAGGGAGGGCGAACCCTCCCCGCTCTCGCCCATATCAGGGCATTTGGGGGCACCTTGTGTAGTAACATCTATGATGAAGCTGATTTCCAAAGGAAACGGATTCGCTTATTTTGTACTAGATAGTAAAATGTCTTTTTGGTCACTTATTCGCATCATTTCCATGTCTGTTGATCCGTCTTTCCCTTTATCAAAGTTAATTTTCATTCTCTGTCTCCAATCTGAATTGCATTTATACTGCCAACCTTTTTAATTACAATAGCTATTTTAAATTAACTACTCACCTATTCTAGAGTAATCAGGTTAATGTCTCTGGTTATTATCACAGTTTGCTGAATATGATGCAAAAGTACGTTGTAATAACGAATCAATATGTTCCAACTACTTTTACAATTACCACATTTTAATAACTAAACAGTAAATATCTCTAACTGTAAAATTCATTTCATGTTTATCCGTGTTGATATTATCGTTGTTCTTTCTAATTACCTATTGTATGCAACATCATTTTCCCATATTTACTGTATTTTTCAGGAATCACCCAACTCTTCTAAGGGAAATGATTCGTTGGACCAGTTACGTAATAATGTGAATACTGTAACAGCTGTAATGCAAGAGAATACTAGACTAGCGCTTCAACGAGGTGATCGGTTAAACAATTTGGTCAGCAAAACAGATGAACTTGCAGCCAGCGTGAGTGTTTGCAACTATATAGTGTTTTGTATTATTTTCGGCTTTAGTTTTGGCTTATGCATTTATATTCAAATTATTAGGATAATTAGTTTTCTCTGAAGAATTTTTTCATACCATAAGTATTTGCTAGTAACATTCTATCCATAGAAAAACTTAAATCTCGGATGTGACCTGGACTTGATTTTAAAATCCAACCGCATTCTTATTTATAACCCGGGATACACTAATTCAAACATAGTATTCAGCTGACCAACGTCTTATGAAGTAGTGACTTAATGGTTGAAGCGTTCGTCTTTCGTACTATAGATCAAACGTTCACACCCCATTCCACTTACTTTGATTTGGGCGCCCAGGTAGTATTACTTGCCTACACACAGTTTGGTTCACGGCTAATTACCTAAATGAAGTACAAAAGGTGTATGGTTCATTTAGTCGCTGTTCTACATTGATACCGAATTTGTGAGCACCTTCAATGATCTTGTTAACCTCAAAATGACTTGTCGTTTTCTCACTCTATTAGTGTTAACACTACTGGGAAGTTGTTTATCAAACGACTTGCTTCCTTGTTTGGGGAATTGCTACTAAGCATACTAAGATGTTGATTTCTTGTTAACAATGTATCTCAGTTGACTAATTGTCATAAATCCTATCATGTTTAGTAAGTGATCAGCACCACAGTTTACTCTAATTTTGTCGTCACTATTTAAAGAAGAAACGTTAGTAAAACTTACCATAATGTGGACCTTAGGTGACTTATTATTCAATCAGAAGAGTGTGTTTAGTTGTAGGATAATTAACAATAAGAAGTCATAAATAAAATTATAGTAGATAAATAGTTCTGACATGATCAATGAACCTTTATGTGTTGTATTATTATGGTAAACGAAGAAGGATAAGGGTTATGTATTAGGAGTTTGGGCTAGAGTTATGAGGTTTTTAATCGCTTACTGATACAGCTATAATGCGAGTGCTTTGTAGCAATATGGTTGAATAAATTTCGCTCAAATATTCAAGATGCGCTATCTAATGCCTAATTATTTCGTCCATAAATCATGGTATCCTATTGTCTAGAGAAATGTTTAGGAGTTGAAGTGAGAAAACTTTCCGATCCCATAAACGCCCTTGACTATATCCAAAATCATATCACTTAGTTACAATCTGCATTCCTGACCGTTGTTGCTACCTTGACGTGGTGGTCGGGCTTGCCTATCGTGATGAAGCAACTGAGCTATACTGGCTGGAACAACCGTTCCTCAAGGTCCTACCATGCCAGACAGGTCGGTTGAAGAGCGGTAAGACTAAAAGCAACAAAACCAAGGTTCAAAGGCGAAGTCGTACTGCTGACTGTACAGAGGTGTGACAGCAGTAAGGTGTTTCCTTCAGACAACCAGCATGACAGCGATGCTGCCTTCCCACAAGGAGGGGTGGGGTTAGAAAAGGTCGACCCTAAAAATGCACACCTCGCCTTATCCCACGGATATCCGTCTCCGGCGGTAAGGACTCAACAAGTACGGAGCTAACACAAAAATCACTCATAAAAAGGTCGTGTGTGACCGACCTCAAGCAGCTGTCCCTTGGGCACTGCACTGCGGTCACGCTCTCAGGTCACTATGACCAACTCTAATCCAATTTCCTTTTCAGGTACCTCCAGAAGAACCCTTCCACGGTGTGGGCAACCGGGAAGTGATAATCGCCCTCATACCTCTAACAGCACTCAAGACCACTGTATTCATAGTCAACCTCCCTCTTCAATTCCTATTATTCCTCCTACATCGACTTTATACACTAAACTTCCTCTTTTAGCTTCCTCCTCAAGTGTCACCACAGCCAACGATTCTAGTGCTCAAAACACTGTCCCAGGTCTAGTGAAACCTCGCTCCAAACTATACATTGGAGCCTTCAACGTACGCACACTATGCCAAATCGGTCAGCAGGCTTCCTTGGCTAAAACCTTAGAATCTCTTACGATTGATGTATGCTGTGTCTCCGAAACACGCATACAGGATCCTAGTGTGGTCATTCACTTGACCTCACCTCGGCAAAACGGAGAGCCAACGAGATACACCCTCCGTGTATCTGGCGACCCGATGGCTAGTTCTCGTGGACTGGCAGGTGTAGGCATAGCACTTAGCATGAGGGCGGAACAAGCGCTATTAGAGTGGATCCCCGTTAACAGTCGTCTATGCGCTGTTCGGCTAAACGGCTCCGTAAGAACTCGGAAGGATAGGGACACACGTCGTTGCCTTTTCGTCGTTTCTGCCTACGCTCCCACTGACTGCAGTTCGGATGAAGTGAAAGATGAATTTTACAGAAAGCTGTCTGAACTTCTTCAGAAGGCTAAACGTTCAGACATAGTACTCGTAGGAGGTGACTTTAATGCCCAGGTAGGTAGCCTAAACAAAACAGAAAGACATTTAGGTGGGTATTTTAGTATTCCGGCACAGCGAACAGATAATGGTGATCGTCTGCTGCAACTGTGCTCAGACAATCGTTTATTTTTAGCAAACACAAATTTTAAGCATAAGGAGAGACATCGTCTAACATGGCGACCCCCTGCACCAAACCAACGATGGACTCAAATAGACCATATTGCCATCAGTCATCGTTGGAGAGGGTCAATAGAAGATTGTCGCTCATTCTGGGGTACCTGCTTGGACTCTGATCATGCCCTAGTACGAGCACGCATCTGCTTGCGCCTCACTGGACGCAAAAGAGCCACACAAAAAAGACTCATTAGAACCGAATTGAGTAATGAGAAAGCCAAAAGTAGGTTCCAGGAACAACTGAGGTCACACTTAGGTAGTTCTGAAAACGAGACTGACCCAGATGTTGCTTGGAAAGTTATACAAGCAGCTGTGGAAACAGCAGTGACATCTACCAGTGATTTAAACCAAATGGTTACAAAAAACCAATGGATTTCGTCAAGGTCTATAGCACTGATAGATTCTCGCAAACTCATCCCATCAGGTTTTGAATACGATGAAGAGCGTAAAGAAATCAAATCTAGATTAAGCAAAAGTCTAAGGAATGATCGTGAGCAGTGGTGGGCAACGAAAGCAAAAGAGATGGAAAAGGCGGCGGCTATAGTGAACACAAGACAACTCTACAGACTAATAAAAGAAACTGGAATTAATAAATCAAGTGTAAGTCAGACCATTTCGGAAAAAGACGACACTCTCATCTGCTCCCAGTCCAGACGCTTAGAACGATGGGCGGAACACTTTAAGGAGCAGTTTAGCTGGCCTTCAGCTACTCTACAACTACCCTCTATTCCCAGACAGTGTGAATGGAACATTGAAGTAGGTCCCCCAACTCTAGCTGAAGTTCAAAAGGCTATAGCTAATCTGAAACGAGGAAGGGCAGCTGGTCCAGATGGATTGGCCCCAGAGGTCTTTAAGGATGGTGGTCTAGTCTTAGCGATTAGGTTGACTAATATTTTAGCTAAAATCTGGGAGTTAGACGTTATCCCATCTAACTGGTCACAATCACTTATCGTCCCAATATTTAAGAAAGGGTCAAAATCATCCTGCGACAGTCAGTCAGTCAGTCAGCTGCAACGTAGGACCAGGCAGTTCACGAGTCTTAGTTAGGCGTCCGAAAATTATCGAAGCTAGTATTTTAGATACTATATTAGTCAAACTAATCCCTCTGTGGTTGTTTAACTTTATCATAGACATCCTGATGGAAATAACGCTCTCATCGACTGACTTCTCGGGTATTGATCTCCTACCAGGAGGTCCACTTATTGACTTAGAATACGCAGATGACATAGTCCTGTTTGGTGAAGACGCTGATGAAATGCAGAGTCTTTTGGTAGCACTGAGCAACAATGCTAGAATGTTTGGGATGCGTTTTTCTCCCTCTAAATGCAAGTTGTTGCTTCAGGACTGGTCTGCATCAACACCTGAACTAAGGATAGGGGGTGAAGTAGTCGAACGCGTTGACAACTTCACTTATCTTGGAAGTCTGATCAGCCCTAATGGGTTGGTGTCTGACGAAATCTCAGCACGGATTCGAAAAGCTCGCTTGGCCTTTGCCAACTTACGTCATCTATGGCGAAGGCGAGATATCCGTCTATCAATTAAGGGACGAGTATACTGCGCGTCAGTTCGTTCCGTCCTTCTATACGGCTGCGAAACATGGCCTTTAAGAGTGGAAGATATTCGTAAGTTACTAGTATTTGACCACAGGTGCCTTAGAAATATTGCGGGTATCTGCTGGGACCACCGGGTAAGTAATAGTGAGGTTAGACGCAGGGTATTAGGGAATGATGGTAAATCAGTTGATGAGGTTATGAATCTTCATCGACTGAGATGGTTGGGCCACGTGTTGCGTATGCCTGAACACCGATTACCACGACGCGCAATGCTGACTAGTGCAGGGGATAATTGGAAGAAAGTTAGGGGCGGCCAAACCAAAACCTGGCATCAGTGCTTGAAGTCACTAACTTCTGGTCTGAGCCATGTTGGGAGATTCAGACTGCCTGGTTGGGGTCCGCGTGACTATCGTAACCAATTGTTGGAGACTCTTGGTGACATGGCTCAGAATCGATCACAATGGCGTCTCTGTATACACTCTCTGTCTTCCTTAAATTAAGAGATTAAAATCGCTTCATATCTGTCTAGGAACTAATTCTTTCTTCCTGTACTATATCCTTATATACAATTTTTCCTTTATATATTACCACCACTGATTTAACTACTCCTATGAATCCGGTGTTCATCTTGTTGTGCTAATGCGGTATGGCAACTTGGACCGATGCATATACGTGCCTGGTCCTACGTTGCAGCTGACTGACTGACTGACTGACTGACAATCTGCATTAGTGGAGGGTATTTCTCTCAATTAAGTTTACATGCTATGTCACATCTATTATGTGGTTGCATAAGAATTTCTTTTTCATCGATTTTAAGTATTTTGGGAACTAGATATCAGCAAGGTTTGCTTAGTTTGGTTTTCGCACAGAAATCGGGTATGGGTTATCATGTCTCAATCTATTCAAGGTCGTCAGTATAGTTCAGTTTTACCAAGACGTTGACTCACTAGGTTGTTGGCTGAAAGGTATAGTATTGCTATTCCTATTCAATATGTTAAACCAACTTTGATTTTATGTATTATCTATCCTGTTGTGTCAGTTAACATTTTAAATAGCCGGTAGATTGTTTTCAAGATACAAAATGAAAACTAGTATAACTGAAACTTACAAATCCTCTTAAGGAAAACAAGTAAATTAAATAATATTTTGAAAAGTCGCGAAGTTATTGTCTTTAAATTTAAAATCACGTACCAACTTATGTAGAATCATGAAATGAACTAAGAATATCTATGGATAATAATACCTCGTTTTAGAGAGAAATACATATATGTATAATGTAAGGGTTTTTATGCAACTTTTTTTCAGTGTTGTATTTCGGCTTTTTAGAGTTATAAATTATATGACATCGAGTAGCAAGTTAAATATTACTCGCTTTCGTAAAGTCCAGTCGTTTAGTCACCTGGAATTTAAATTTATCAATGGTTATTAACCTGTACTTATTAAAGCTGTGTCTGTATTTTCAATGTTTTGATATACTTTACTTAAATGAAATATTTGATCATAGCAGTTTATATATTCAATTTGAACAATATCAGATAAGGAAGTTGAGTACTTTATAGATTCTGGTCAATCAATCATATCTTTACCTGTAAAATTGCCTTCAAAAGTTTTGTTATTAAAAGTTAGTTCTATAAATTTCTTTGTTCTATCATTCTTATTAATCATCGTTTGGTTTTTGGTTTTCCGTGTAGTTTCATCCTTTGAGTTGGATAATTGAACCTTGAAGCATTCGTTGTTCTTCTAAACAACATCATCAATATAAACTCCAAGTAGTTTATGTTGGAAATGTTTTCCAGAAGAACTATGAAAGCTTCATGGTACAATCATTACATTCAGAAAACGAAATTTCACCTGATCTAAAAAACTTCTCTCCCATTTTTATACGTCAATTATCTTTCTGCAATTCAGCTAATGAATTTATCTCAATATATATTCAATGCTTGCACTTTTATTTCATTTTTGACTCAAGTTAACTAATATCTGTACAGAAATGAAGGTTGTAACATTTACTTCCTACTTTAATGCTTGTAAATGTAGAAGCAACAATGCAACACTTGCAGATATTAATTTACTTTGTTTATTGTTTTTCTCCTCGATCGATTACTTCCTCTCTCACACATACACACAATATCTTTCTGTTAGTATACAACCTTTTTCTCTTCTGATTGTAAGTTGTTCTGTCAAGGCAACGCATTTTGTTTTCCTTCGCAACCGATTTCTTCTGAAATTTACTACAGGGTCGTATGCCACGGCTATTGTTCTATACTTTCATTTATATGTACATTTCTCTTCTTTTGCTCATAATAATATAGAAATTTATTGTATCGTGTGTATTCTAGTTTTGTTTTTATCGTTCTTCTCTTTTGAGGGCATAATTTATTCAAGGGAAAATTATTATAGATAAGGCAATATTCGCTTTCATATTGAATACTACACTTTTTGTATTTGAACTATTCATAAGAACAGTTCAGTTAGTCGATGATTCGACAGTTCTGTGAATTGTGAGGAAAATAGTACTTGAACATTGCGGGGCCTTTATGTGTTAGTGTAACTGTTTCAGAGAAAAAGGCGGACCGTAATCCATTATGATTCCAAAAAAAACACAAAGTAACAATCCAACTCATCTTGAACTACTCTTCAGTTACCCACTATTTCCAGACAACCTCAATAGGAAATTGACATGTCTTACAACTATTACCAAAGTTGACAAGGTCATGTTCAACTCGAAGAAAAGATTAATGATTCAATTTTATATTTTCTTATGTATAAACTCACAAAAAGTTTACATAATCGTTTTTCTTCAGGCTAATCAATTCCAAACAACAGCTACAAAGGTGGCCCGGAAAACTTGGTGGGAAAATTTCCGTATGAAATTAATTATTGTTGGCGTTGTCGGTGGTATACTTCTAGTAATTGTGATAATTATACTCTGGCAGACTGGGGTGTTCAATAGCAAATCGCAACACCAGTAATAATAGCAACAGTAAATAATTAACTTCATATTGTTTATTACATGGAACAGAAAATGCAAAGAAACACCCATATTAAAATTAGGTGAGATATTCGATAATGTGTTTTTTTACTGGATCAATTTATACAACACTTATTCCATTCAAACGTCTTGTTAACATTTCCATTTTCTTTACTGCGACATGTTTTCCTTTTCGTCCTTCGTGACAGATAAATTTTACAAATGATTGATATTACACAGTATATTGTAATTTTTATGCTATACTATAAATATACATACTTGAATCTTTTTTTGTAATCGCTATCCCTACTACTAATCCTACATTAACTACTGACTGATGAAATGTCTTTTTTATATAGGCGCAGAGATTTAATAATAATTATATATATATATATATATATATATATATATATATATATATATATTTAGTGTTCGGAATGATTTTTTCTCTCAAAGGAATTTATTTTTCACTCAACATCTATCTCCTTTGTATGGGTGACTATCTTTCCGATGTATATTTATTATTTGTTCTTTATTGATTCCAATACACATTTTGTTTATCTTCAATAACAATGACTTTTTAAAAGCCAATGATTATAAATAAAAGATAAGGGACTTACAAACTGTTTGATATCTTTTTGTTGGAATTACACTTTGTAAACGTATGTATTTGTGTTTATGCATGCGTGTGTTCATGTATGTTCAAGTGGCTTCATAGTAATACCATCATTATTCATTTTCATCATTATTTCCATGCCCTGTCCTTTTTACTTCTCTACAGATAATCTAAAGTATACTCATTTCTGTACTATTTCTTCTTGCGGTTGTTCTTATTATTATTAACATTATGAAAAAATGTGTATTTGGAATTTCTACTCTGGAAGAATTCCTTATTATTGATTAATGCATATCATGGTTTTACTTTTTACCAGATTTAAATTAATATGTTTGCTCAATATACATAAATTTTCTTTTCCTTTTTTTAAAAAAAGAAAAATCATATTTGCCGTGTAATGAATACCAATAAAATTGAATTCTAAATTTGTTTTCGGTTTCTGTAACATTACTGGAATGATTATAATGTTGTTAAATCTGTGTAAACGCATAAATTTAACAGATTAGTTCAGGTGTGTGTTGTATTTGTTTTGGTTACTATAGTGTTGACATTATCAACGAAGTAAAACATGGGTGGTTACCAAACTGAATTTTCATTTTGTTTCATTTAAATTTTGGATTTTGTTTAAGCTTCGTTACTTCCATTTAGTTATGCATTCGAAACCCTCTCCACATTCTGATGTTTGGACGTCTGAATTGTAGTACTATTAGGGCATTCGTAAGTATGGCTGAAAACTTAATATGTGAACATTTATGCAGTTCCTGAGATTAGAATTATTTCTTAATAAAAAAGTATTCCTATAGATAGGAGTAAACTACAACCTTAAAAAACCGATAAATTTGTAGACATTTTATAAATGTTTTAAAAACAAAAGTCATATGGTTAATGAGGTTGAACAGAACTTCCCTACTAATTTTATTATCTATGCAAATATTATGTCACTAGTGATGTTACAGATCATTATTTATAGTCGACCACTTAATATGAGAATCAAATTATTCTTAATTTTTGTCAGTTTTTGCAAAGAAGAATATAAAGTTACTTATGATGTGCACAATTATGCGATGCGAAATATTCTATCTCACTTGTTGTAACTGTATCTTTTTTCATGAGAATAAAAAATTTCATGTGTTAATTGACGACTGTTTTTAAATAAAGATGGTAGGAAATATTTGTTTCAGATCCATGCACAGCTCATCGTCAACTGTTAATATCCTTTTCTGTTTTGTTTCATATAAACATTGTTCATGGATCTTAGTTTAGATGACACGATTTGTATGAGTTACGTAATTGTTTAATGTATATATTGCTTTTAAACAATTCGTTTCTGTAGTGATTTTATTATGAAACAATGTAAATTTCAAACAACAAATGCATATATGACTTCCACAACATACCATTCAACTGTTTATTTCACCATCATTCCACCTTGAAATTGACAACAGTATCAGTAATCACAAGTGATATCGGGCATCAAAGTCACTTTACATATTAAGTCTTAATTTGTGGCTTCGCGAATTTGTCGTCTTTATTATATGATCTGATAATACTTACCGAATAGTTTAGTTTATATAAATTAGATAACTGAAAATTGTATGTACTCACTAAAGTTTGTCAAATCAATGAGTTCTTAAGTGTAATGCTGGGTATTTTTTTTCTATGTTAACACTTTTACTTAGCACTAACACTGCAAATAAATCAATTAATTTACTGATCATTCATTAATAAGGTTGAAGAGGGTAATATTAAGTTTGATTGTTACTGTTTAAGAAAATAACATCTAGTTTTCTTAACTGTTGTTCATGATATCTATATAATCGACTTCTGTCTCCACAATGCATAAGCAAAATAACGGAATACTTTATATGAATTTTGATTTTATCGGTCTGAATAACAGTTCATATTACTTATAGGATTACATCATTATACCATAAATTTCTTAGATGGTGAATATCTAACATAAATAAAAATAATCCTAACAATGAAACAGGTACATTTGTTAGATTTTTCGTTATAAACTAACAAAGATGTATATTTCTATCTATTGTAATATTACTCAATGTACTATAAGGTTAGTTTAGAATTTCCATTGGCCGGATACCATCAGCAACAGCTTTCTGTGGGAGAGAACAAACCAGCTTCCAGCTGAAGAGGAAATTAGGAAAACACGATGGAAATGGATAGGACATACATTACGCGAATAATCAAACTGCATCACGGGGCATGCCCTAACTTGGAATCCTGAAGGGAATCGGAAAAGATTAATGCCAAAGAACACATTACGTCGAGAAATAGAAGCAGATATGGAAAGGTTGAATAATAACTGGAAAGGATTGCCTAGGACAAGGTTAGATGGAGAATACTTGTAAGCGACCTATGCTCCTTCACGAGGAGTAACAGGTGTAAGTAAGTAGTTTAGAATTAATTTCTTTTTTTCTTTAATATTCTTATTAATTTAAATGAATAATTGATTATTATATTAGTACACATAGATATCAGTCGACTCCTATAGAAATAAGTTTTCTCTTTTATTTTGCTACAAGAAAAATCACTGATATATATAAGTTGTCATTATTATTTACATAATATTTAATTATCTTCATAAGTCCATTGTTTACATGAAATATAATCATCAGATCGATTTTATTTTGTTTGATAGATATATATTAAGTTGGAGTACATAATAATAGTTTCCGATCAAATATACCTTTCTTTAGTACAGAATTTGTACTAATCATCTGATTAGATAATAAAGAAATGATTTTTTTCGGTGATCAGTTGAAAAATTTAGATTTTCAAAATTTCTTGTAAGAATATATGATTTCTGAATATAAATGGTAATAATATTGATGAATTATGGTTTCACTATATCACGAATAGACAAACGTTGAATATACTAGTTAATGAATTGTGGTTTATTGAATAGCTTGACTACACTGCTACCTTGAAGTGGGCTTGCATCTTATGATAACCCAGTCGATTTACATTAGCCAGAACCTCCTTTCATGTACTCCATACCATGTCATGCAGGTGGATTAGGAGAAAGGTAAGATTAAAAGCAACAAATTTACGTTCGAAGGCGAAGTCGTACTGCAAACTGTACAGAGTGTGACGACAGTAAGTTATTTCCACTAAACAACCAGCATCTATAACGATCCCGCCTTTCTACAACAGAATAAATTGGTTTGAAATGTTCGGCCGTAACAATCGCACATTTCAACTTGTGGCACGGATATCTTTCACCAGTAGTGAGGTTTAAAAAGCACGGAGTTATTGCACCAAAACTACTCGCAAAAATCCGTATATAACTTCTCAAAAGATGTCCACTTTGGCTCTGCAGTCAAGCCCTTAGTTCAATTAAACCACTACTAATCCTGTTAGGTTTTTATGTGTTTTCTCAAGTGGTATTCTTCCATAGCGTAGAGGACCATGAATTGACAACGAATCTCATACTTTCCTCAACACTTGGGGTCACTGTGTTGATATTCTCCTACTTTTTCTTCACTTCCAACCAAACAACAATCTGCTCGTTGCAGATTCCATCAACATGGTTGTTTGATACTCCTCATTTTTGATGAATCTTTATTCAACATCAGTTTTTGGTGAGAACTTTTGTAAAATTAAGTACAATCCTTGCAAACTGCTTAATTCAATAAAAATAAAACTGGAACAGTGGTTGAATTTTAATCAAATTATTTATTAAAATGTTCTGATTAATAAATTAGTTTGTTTACTTCTGTCACCTAATTCTCAATGAAATCGATTAGCTATGGAAAATTTATTAAAACTGCAGATGTACTCATTAAAATTTGATTTGATATATGATTTGAGTTGTACACAGTAGTTGGACACAATGTTTGACTAATTAATGAGAATCAGTAACTAAGGCTTGTTGTCATTTGCTTGATCCGTTTTTGTTTCTTAAATTTGCTGAACATGTCTCCGTAATGTCAAAATTTGCTAGTTGATTGTCTTAAATTCAAATACCACATATTCACGATTTGTTAACTTGGATGTACATACATCCCTGTGTTTATATTCCTGTTAAAACTGAAGGTTTGAAGCTATCACTTCAAATATTAGAGGATTATTTGAACAGAACTAAATGTCTAACATGGATTTAACCCACTGATTTTCCAAATTATAATGAGCTGGTAAATCCAGAAAACACCAAAGGATCCTTTTAAGGAACCCATATAACAAAGAACGATGAAATCCATTCATGAATAATAATTAGAATTAAAAACTAACCCCATACCTTTTGAAGAGGTGAAAGCTATTGTGACTCAATAGTTTAAAGGATGATTTTCTAACTGAAGAAGAGATAAAGTGATTCGTTAAATTTTCAATAAAAACATTAACACTGTGGTGCACGTACATTTATCCACCCAAGGGGTCCTGAATAGTTTGAAAAAAATTATTCTCGATCATACCACTTCCTACTATATAATATAAACGACAATAATTAAAGTTATTAATATTAGATTAGTATATTTCAATTGTTGAGGTCATGAGTCAATTGGAGCTAGACCACCATGGCAAACCTGGAATCACTGGACGGCCACTTCGTCCTATTGTGGGACTACTCGACAGTGCGCGTTCACGATCCCGCCTCGCGGGATTCGAACCCAGGATCTACTGGTATTATTACTGTTATTATAACTTATATGGTTTTAATAGCTCAAAATAATAAATTCTTCAAAATATTTTATGCTCAATTAATTGAGATAATCATAGTCTTATCATCATATGATTCATATAACTATCCGTTTTGTGTAAATTTTATTA